GCGGGGGGAGAGGGGCGAGGGGGGGAGTGGGCTTAGCGCCAAAATATTTAGGTCACTTCCAAAAACAGGCGTGGGGGCCTGCGCCGCCATCTGCGTTCCAGATGTGGATTCCTGGCACGGCTCCATTCAATTCCACTCCCGATCCCTGACCACCTCCCACCGCAGACCCCCCCCCCGCACGCCCCCTGCTCGCTCTCGGCAGGCTCCCACTCACTCGACTCCCATCTCTTTGCCACTCTACTGTCCCCTACCAGCACCACCACTGCCGCCCCTACTCCCTGCCCCCCCAGAACCCCACCCAAGCCCCGCCGCCTCCCCCCCCCCAACTCTCCCCACTTTTTCCCGGTCAGCCCAGCCGCTCTTTCGAGATCTCACGGGAGGCTGAAAGCATAACAAGGCGAGAGCCCTCGTTTTGTTGATTAGGAATCTCGCTCCCAGTGTGCCGTTTGCCAATTATTTTGAAGAAAGAAAAAAAAGATAAAACATTGTGATAATAAGAATGTACAAATCTACTGGCCCCTCCCTACGTTTTGTGTCTGTTACTGGAGGTTGTTGGATCACGTATCACCGTGCTGGGTCGGTGCGCTTTGGTGACGGGGTCACCCCAGGAGTGTGTCGTGATGCCACTCACCACCACCGATGTTAGCCATGACCGGGAATAGACCTCATGTTTACCGGGCAGTGTACCGCTCTAACGAGGCGTCGATACAAAAAGAAGGTATATCTTTAATAAAAACAACTTTTTACATGTATAAATGCGAGTGCCATAGATGGAATGGTGGCTTCAACAACTTTTTTCCCCCTTTAGTGACGGTTGTTAATTTAGTCTGGCGTGAGTCGGCTAACTCGGCCAATTAGCGAGGCACGTGAAAGCGAGAGATGCCGGCAGATGCGACGCTGGGAAAAGGAAACTGGAGGCTCGCATGCGAAAAAAATAATCTGGGGATAGAAAAAAAGAACTCTAAACGCTAACAGAATGAGCGAAAAAAAATGCAGGGACAAATGGTTTGGTTCTGTTACATGCGCAGTGTAAACAGCGACAAATGTACACACACATGCTCACACTCGCACGCCCACGCATGCATGGAAAAAAAAAATACTCCGATCCCCCTCATCTGGTCCACGTAGGCTGTAGGGGCAAGTGCTGTTAGCGAGCACCTATCAAGGCCGGCGCGGCACACGAGGGGGTGGTGTGCAACGTCGGTCGCCGCTGTCTCCCCAGCGCCGATGGTTACACGCCTATACCTACTGTTACTTTTATTGACCGTGAGTGGGAATTGAACTCCAGGTTCATTAATGCGGTGCACTGCCGTACCGCTCCGCGTAAACATACACGCACACACATGGGTGCCGCGTGCTGGTTCACATGCCTAAGCTCGTGCATGTGCGCATGTGCATGCGTGAGCTTAGGCATGTGAACCGGCACGCGGCACCCATGTGTGTGCGTGTATGGTTACGCGAAGCGTTACGGCAGTGCACCGCATTAGTGAACCTGGCCTCCCGAGTTCCATTCCCACTCAAAGACGAAGATCCCAAGCATGGCCTGTTACAGACTTGTCGGGGCAGTGGGCGGCCAGCACCGTGGCAATGTTTACACACCGCACCAAGTACTCATTTGAGGCCGAGTCGACCTAGGGGGTGGCCCAGGACCGCTGCGGCTAATCCTCACCGGTGTTGGTAGCCGTGAGCGGGAATCGAACCGGGGCCTTTTCTGGGTTCGTGGCGCGGCGTACGAATTGCCGTGCCCGGCATGCGCGTACGCAAACGTGTGTACGTACGCAGGCACTCGGCCTCTACCCTCCCTACTCGTGCGTGCACGCGCGGGCGGGTGGGCGGGGGGGGCCCTCTTCCCACGTGCCCTTTGCCTCGCTTGGCGGTCGGGAGCCCGTGAGTCTGCGTGGATTTTGGCACTTGGCGCCGGCGATGAGACGCAAGCAAAATGCATTTCCTGGATTCGTTTAAGAAATAGCTTAAGTTAAACGCAATTCTACGCCGAATCTTGCGAGGATGAATTCGCTTAAAGAAAGAACGAAAATACCACCACGGCGACGATTTTATTAAGTAAAACTCTTTAAAGGCATTGAACTGGCATTTTGGATTCAAAGTCTTATAGCGTGAGAACGTGTAAGATAGATGCCGCAGAAAGGCACCCGAGTGGCGCTGCAGGAGAGCTCTCGCATTATTAAAATAAAAATTAGACCCAAGCGCAAGCGTCAAGATCGTTGTTTCGCACCGAAGCTCAGGCGAACGCGGCTGGGCTGAGTGGCGAGCGATATCTGAACCAATCTTGGCCCCCACCCCCCCTCCTCTTGGCTCTTTTCTCCAACTGGTGAACTATAGCCAAACAATCCCCCGTCCCCCTCCCCAACATGCCTTGGGGAAGGGTGTTCATCCTGCAACGGCTTGACAAAGGGCCGTAAAAACATTTTGAGATTTTTTTATCCTAAACGGACATCGCATAGGGTTTCTGAAAATGCCTCGCATCGACGAGTCTGTCCGTTCTGCTGCCCCCGCTCAATGCTACGTCGGGGGTGGGCGGGGACAGAACAGCATGTAGGGTCAGCAGAGGCTAAGCCCCTGGTTAATGTAGAATGTTCTCTTCCACACCGCACTTAACCCAAGAGCCTGAACAAAACAAAAAACGAAACAAAAAATTGTGACCAACATAACTCGAGCAGAGCCTCCCTCCCTCCCTCCCCCCTCCCTCCCTCCCTCCCCCCTCCCCCCTCCCTCCCTCCCCTCCCCCTGACGAGAGCTGCCTGTAAACGGAACGTCCCGTCGAGGGGCCGCCGCGACGCCGGCCACCTGCGCTCTCGTTGTCGCGGCAACGCCCACTGGCAAAGACGACCAAACGGGGGCAGAAGCTTTACAAAACCCCCTGCCGCTTTATCCTCGGGAGTTTTTTTTTTACACATTTCCCGTTCCGATGACGTATGTCAATGATGTACGTCATCGGAACGGAATGGGAAGAAAAGCTAAAATAGAATGGCTTTATCAGTACCGAGGCTCCCGCAAGGCCATGCGGGAGGGCGTGTGGCAGCGGTCGTGTCGCTATAGCTCCCTGTGGTGAGTACAGTGTCTTTAAAAACACTGGCGCTCTGCCTCTCTAAATAAAATTAACGTGGAACCTCTTGTGCTTTCCAAGATTCGGCAATGAACAGGACCCACACACTGCAACTCACAGATGTCTCCGAATGGGAAAAGGTTAGCGATAGCGGAGCTACCGTCCTTCCGCGGCGTGTGACGAGATGACGTCACGCGTAATGACGCCATCGCCTTGGCTGCCAACGCTTGCCGTTTAATTTACCGGCTACGATCGCCGATTTTTTTTTTGGGCGACCCATTAGTCAACACGACCGGCTTTCTCGATGTTCGAGTGCGTGAAAGCAACACAACTTTACACGAAAGTTTTTTCATATTGGATCATCGCTCCTTCCCCCCCAGAGATGGGAAAGAGGCTCGCCTCGCCCCGTCGCCGGATTGATAACTTTTCGTGCTGTGTGCGCCGTAGTTGACGTGCGAGCGAGCCACGCCGCTGTTTTAAACCGAATCTTCGAAGCGGTTTGCGGCCGGCGGTGGCGGCTTCCTCCTCCCCCTTGGGTTTTGGCGATGACGTTGCCACACGCGGCCCGAGCCGCCGACGGCCGCGGCCTTTCAGGGTCGCTCGCTAGCGCTGGCACAAGGTGTGGCTCGTTGGTCCCCCAGGGATGCCCGGGTATCCCGGTCAGTGTGACCTTGCAGACATCTCCCTTGTGCCTCTGTGTTAGTAAGTGTTGGCTCTGGGTGTCTCAACGGTGGCCCCCGGTGTCTCCAGGCGTCTATTTTGTTTCCAGGTATCTCTCTGTTGTTTGCACGTATCCCCAGGTGTCTCCGTGTAGCCTCCAGGTATTTGTAGGTGTCTCCGTTTTGTCCCCACGTGTCTCCGCGTTGATTCCATGTATCCCTACCAGATATTTCTGCGGAGGCTCCGGCTATTTGCATGCCTCCTTGTGTTCTCCCCACAGACATCCCTCTTGTTAGTAGCTGCAGGTGACTCCGAGTGTGTCTGGCTTGGAGCTCCTCCAGTGTCGAGTCTCTCCCAGATAACGCCACAGCAGTGTGAGGGGGCGGGGGGTGGCAGGCACACACAGAGAGAGAGAGTGAGAGGGGGAGGCCGATACCTCGGGAATCACAATGCTAGAGACACCGGATCCCGTTGTGTCTTGCACGATAAACTCCGGCGGTGTAGCGTCTCGAGCACGGCTGGGGCGGAACGGTGACAAGCGATAATGACGAGCCTGAGTCAAAACCGCGTCTGCATGACAACATCCGGGCTAGAACCGTCCGGGCTAGTACCATGTCATTATTTTTATTATTATTTCTACACTTGTGCGCCGCGCGCCGCCGCCTAGAAACGTCCCAACGCTGGAGAAAGCGTCGCTTGATGATTTAAAACGACAAAGAGGCGCCGAGCGACGGCCACACCATTCGTGGGCTCGCCTTCACTGTGTTCACCATCGGTGGCCCTCCCGCCCCACTGGTCCCCTTTACCCATCTGTCCCACGTGCGCCTAACGTCTTCCCCGGCAGTCAACGTGACGTCGCCGCTTTGCGTTTGCGCCACGATCCGCATCTCCCACTTCCCGCCTCTCGGTTGCTGTCCCCCCACCCCCCCCCCCCCCCACAAGCGTCGCGCCTCTCCAAGCTTTCTTGCGCGCTTCAAAGCTTCACTGCCTTTTGGTCCGTCTCCTGAGCGGCCAAACCGCTCGGTAAAACCGCTCGTCCGCGGTCGCCCACCGTCCGTCGTCAAACCGGCCCTCGCCCTCCCGCCTCGTCCGTCGGCCTCGCAGATCATCGAGGAGAACGGCGTGTGGAAGGTGGTGGTGACCCCGCACCCTCCTGAGTTCCACCCGCACCCGTCCATGCACCCGCCGCCGCCGCCGCTGCCACCGTACATGCAGCACCACCCGCCGCTGCTCACCGCGCCGCCGCCGCCGCCGCACGCCATGTACCCGCCGCCGGGGCCCGCCGGAGAGATGCCGCCCCCGTTCATGGCCCACCACCCGCCGCCGCCGCCGCCGCCCCCGCCGCCGCACGCCATGTACACCGAGCAAGGTGAGCGCGACGGGTTTTCGCCGCCACCGGCGGTGGGGTGTCAAACTGTGCAGGTGTTTTTTTTAATTTTATTCGCCAGGTAAATTCCACCCCCCGACGCCCCCCCCCCCGCTGAGCTTATCGGATTTTTTTAATTCGGGAGGCAACTTGGCCGCACGTCATGTGAGCGAGCTCATCGAAGTCGCCGATTCCATCGTCGTCATCATCATCATCGCCGTCGCCACCACACGTGGGAATTTATAGTGGCAGCTCAAATAAATCTGAGATGCGTGTTTATAAAATGTGGAGGTGGGTGGGGGGGGACAAAACTTGAGGAACCCAGAGAACAATCCACGCAAGCACCACTGAGATAAAGACAACGCAGACTGCAAATATTACAACATCAGGCATTGTCAGAGCGCACTGCCTGCGTACCAGGCGAGGGAATGGTGGAGGTGGTGGAGATTGCTGCTGTTGTTATTTGTTGGTATTGTTTCCGAGCACACGGCCGAAGCTAAAAAAAAAAATCCAAGCGACCGGTGGTTATGTTGGCGATGGTAACGATGATTGTGATTGTAAAGATGGGATGATGATAATTGGCGATGGTTGTGGTGAGGCCCTGTTGGTGGCAGTGAGGTTGGTTGTTGTACAAATGTGATGTTGACGATGGGGGGGGAGGGGGGGTGATGGTAGCAGTGACCATGGTAACGGCGTGAGGAAGCTTTTATCCAGCAGTGGATTGACGAATGACCAGCGTAAACTATTTCAATGATTATTGTTCCTACAGCGCCGCTATACCTTGCTCAGCCTAACGCCCATAAAACCACCTCCTTTATTCGCAATCCAATTAAACCGCTTCTACTCTTCGCACCAGAAGCGATACCGCCCCCGCTGAGGCCCAGCTACTACCAGGACCGTCTCATCAGCGGCAAGCCGCACGGCAAGAAGCTGGGCAAACCGGAGCGGCTCGGCGGGGGAGAGAGGATGAGCAAGGAGGGCAAAGCGACGGGGAGCAGCCCGCCAAACTCTCCGCAGAACGGCGGTAAGCCATCGGGCAGCAGCTCCTCCAGCTCCTGCACGCCGTCGGGGTCGCCGCCGGGGTCATCGTCCTCCTCTTTGTCCTCGCTGGCCCTGTCCTCGTCGCCGTCGTCGTCGCTGTCCTCCTCCTCGTCGTCGTCTCCGCCGCACAAGCCCGTGCACGCCGGGCCGCCGGGCTCGCCGCGCCAGGGCGGCCACCACGGGCACCACCACGGCCAGCCGCCGTCGCACCAGCCGCACCAGCACCAGCCGCACCACCACCACCACCATCACCACCACCAGCAGCCGCCGCCGCCGCTGCTCCACCAGCTGCAGCAGAGCCACCACCCGCTGACGCATCACGGCATGCCGCCCCCGCCGCCGCCCCACCACCACCAGCAGCAGCAGCAGCACCAGCAGCACAAGGCGGCGCAGCAGCCGCTGTCGGCGTCGCCGGCGCACGGCGCGGTGATGAACGGGTGCTCGCAGCGCGTGCTGCCCTGCAACGGAGGCATCGCGGGAGGGCGCAGGACGGACAGGCGGTCGCGCGGCAGCCCCCGGCACACGGACGGCCAGGACGCACACTGCGGTATGATCGCGATGACGACGACGATGACGATGATGACGATGGGAACTGTTTGCTGGTGAATATATTTTGGCACGAGCGCCATTCTTACAGCGCAAGCCTATCAACGACGGCACCGTTCTGCACAGGTGGAGGCGGTCTGCCAAATAGGGGGCAATGTTTGCTATGTGGTTTTACCTCGTGAAGTAATTAGCGAATATTTTTGGGAATGTGGCAAATGTGGACCGTGGCGCCGGCACGCTTGGCCTCGTTCTTTTGGAATTAACTCAAGGGATCTTTAATGTCCACCGTGAAGCACACGGTATTTATTGTTGTTGTTTGTTAACACACGTGCGGTATGGCGATGTTTACACGTCGCACCAGGCGCTCATTTGAGGCCTAGCCGGTCTTATGGGCGAGACACAGGATCAGTTCAGGTAATCGTCACCGGTCTTATCCACGATCGGGAATCCAACCCGGGTCGCTGGTTTCAATGCACGAACCACGACACTACCGCTCCCCACGCCAAAACAAAGACGCGCACACGTGTGCGTACCCAAACAAAAATGCTCACGTGCAAAAAACAACTCGCTGATTGGAAGCGCTTGCGGGGGCCAGGGTAAAATAATCGACAAAAAAAGTTGCAAAACGACATACCTCCTGTCTAGCCACGTGGGGCGAGCGAGCGGGCGGGCGGGTGCGCGCATGTACACATAGCGTCGCATTGTGCGAGCTCGCGAGAGCGAGGCCTGCCAAATTCTGGGCCCCCCCCCACACACGCTTGGAGGGGGGGGGGGGTGCCAAGTCGGGCCTCGTCGTCGGGCTCTCACGCTTGCGTGAGTTTGGAAACCGCTTTCTCGCTTGCAAACATTCTGATTTATTCGCCACATTTTATTTGTCCCCCCCACACTCCCTCCTCCTCCTCCACATCCTCCCCTCTTGCCTTCTGTCTAAATCATCATCGTCATCATCATCTGAAGTCAGAGTCCGAGTGATTTCCTGGTGAGGTGGTGGGGGCGGGTGAGGCAGCAAATCGCTGTTGACTTCTTAACAAAGTGGTATTCATATTCTTGGTTCTTTCGGTAAAGTCACGTAGAAGGGAAACAATAAAACATAGATGGACTCATCCATCTGAATAACTGCCAAAACGCTCTCCGTGGTGCTAACGTTAAAAAACCCGCCACTTTTTTCAAATGTTCTTGCTGTGGTTTTCACACCTGATGATGATTGCTTGTGTTGCAGTCGAAACGTCGTGAGAATTGTATTGTTTTATATTTTTTATGATTTTATTGTTTCCCTTCTACGTGACTTTACCGAAAGAACCAAGAATATTAATCCCTGCAGTCACGAAAGCTTTAAATCAAAAGTGGTATTCGTTTCATGGACGCCAGACAGACTATGGGTCTCAAACTCCCGGTTGAGAGCGGCTTGCTCTACCGCCGAGCCACGCGGCCGGATCATTATCACCGTCATCGTTGTCGTCATCGCGAAGCATCGATCGATCCACTCGAGTGGCGTGGTGATCGAGTGTGCCAGGCGGTGCAACTCCACCAGGGCCCATGGGCCACAGGAGCACGGGGCTACAGAGAGAGGGGCAAATTGATCGGGGTTGGGGTGTAACTCCTTCCCACCCGACAAGGTTCCAAACCGCTGAGTCGACGGCCTGCAGCCGGTCACGCGTGCCTCACAGCACTTGCCCCATCAGCAGCCGACCAAGCCGTCCACCATTTCTCGCGGTCCCCGCTATGCCGCAGTTCTTCTCCTCTCCTGCACCCCGACGGATGCGCTCGTTGTGCGCTCAGTCGTCGTGGCCGTACGCATTCGCGAGTTGTCGGCGCAGTGTCGGGTTCGTGTTGCTGGCGGCGGTCTCCTTCACCCCGCGGCGTTGAGTGGCATCGATTCGCGAAGCCTTCTAATCGAAGCGCGACAAGTGATGGAATCTAGGGGGTTGTGGAGAGAACCCTTTACGCAAATAGCACGCACCTACCATTAACGCGCAACCATCACGCGCACACACACACACACACCTGTAATATTACGCAAATGCACAATATTAAAGGATCACACGCACACGCCTATACGCACACGCTGGCATGTACAAAGACGGACAAAGGTCCCACTTCTATAGCTTACACAAACTGTCAGGGCAAAGTGCTTTTAGCGTGCATGTGCATGCATGTATATTCAACTTATTTCGCACCGTACGTAGCCAACCCTGCTAGTCGGAGGTGCGAAATCTCGCTTGGACCCGAACACACGCACGCGCAAAGAAGTAGAAGCCCCTGTTATTTGGCCGAGGGTTCCCCTGGCTCTGTGTGTTGACGTGTGTGTGTGTGTGTGCGTGCGTGTGTGGGTTTCCCGGCCGTACGTTTCTATGCACGGGCACGCCGAGATTAATGATTGGTTCTGCACGGCTTCCTGTGCGCGCGCCCCCTCTCCTGCCCCCGGAGGTTCACGACTAAAGCAGAGAGGCTGTCTCTCTCTCTCTCTCTCGCCCCGTGTACGCCTGCGGTAATTATCTCAATGTGCGGAGCGACGGGCGCCCCATTACGCATGCCGGCCCAAGTGGAGCCCGGCCGGCGAGTTGGGTTCGATTCCCCCCCAACCCGGCCACGGCTATCGTGGGCAGCGAGAGGCAATGCCCGAAGCGCCACTCGGGCCCTCCTGCCCAGGGTCACGTCGGCCTTCGGTAAGTACCCGGTTGCCGAGTGTAAAGATATCGGCGCCGGTTGAGACATTTGACCGAACGTGTGGTGCTGGCTACCCACCGTGCCCCCCCCCCCCCCCCCCCCGTGTCCGCCGTGCCGGCTTCAGCGGTTGCTCACGAACGGCACTGGTGCCAGTGGTTTTCTTTACTGACCCACAACCAACCGGCACCGTGAAGTATGGTCATTCGACCCCCGTGATCAAAAACAGTTGTTGGTCATCATCAGCAGCCACAATGTGTCCACTGCTGCTTGTCCTCTCCGGCGTGTTTTCCTCCTCCTTTGGGTGGCATTCTCTCGCCAGTCTCATCCATTTCTAGCAGCGTGTCTTGTCCAAGCTCACGTATCCCTCCCGGCACTCAATGCGATGTCATCGATCTGTATTTGTTCTCCATCCCCATGTTTCCCTGCACGCTCCTCGGCCTGTATTCCATTTGTATTGTCATTGGTCCCGTTTCTAATCTCCCATGTCTGGAGGACCGCTCCTAGACCCCCTGCAACTCGGTGAGTGGGTTGAAAGTTTACTCCGTGTAATTTATGCAAACGAGGTCAGGATTGCAATTTAACTTCCACCTTCGACCCGATAATTCTACTCAACCTCCCCCACCCCCCCCCCCCACTGCTTACCCGCTCTATTGTTTACAATGCTCGGCCCTGTCTGTGAGCCCCATTTCAACATCGTACAATGGATCGGAATGTGGGAGCTGTGCACGCACGCGTGTCTGTGTGCGTGCGCGTGTGTAAATCGATTCCCGCTCACGGCCAACAACCAGTGACCGGTTCTAGACCGACCTCCCCTAGGTCGACTCAGCCTCAAAAGAGTACCTGGTGCGGTGTGTAAACATCGCCACTGGGGAGACAAAGGCGGCCGGGCGTGGTGTTGGCCACCCACCCCCTCGCTCGTGTGCTCGCTCAACAGCACTTGTCCCGGACAGTCCGTTACAGGCTATACGGGGGGATCTTTGTCTCTGTGTAAGTGTCACCAGGCTTCCTGCACTGGCGCATCACGAGCAGCCAGCAGCACGCCGTGTCTCTTTAGGCTGAGACGCACGCTGCCGGCACATTTCCAGCCCGCGCCGTTGCACTCTCAACGCGTTCTTGTCTTGCGCAGTGGACGCGGGCCTGCGTGCGGATTTTCACCCCCTGAGCGGGTTATTGTGTTGAGTTGGATTAACATCGCTCGCCATTATCTGAACAAAACCCCCCCCCCCCAAAAAAAAAATTCGTCAAAATCTCGGACGGCTCGGTAATTGTGGGCCCCATCGTACGTTAATGGGGGCCGGCATATTTGCGGGGTGAGGCGGAGCGCGGTTCAACTCGGGACAGAGGGGGCCCCGGCTATCTGCGGTGGAAGGGTGGTCGCTCCCGATTCGGTCGACGGTAGGTTTCCTTATAAAATTGGGGCGGCCGGGAGGTGGAGGGAGAGAGCCTGAGGGAGGGGGAGAGCAATGGTCCCCCTGTCGAGCTGCACGCTGAAATTTAAACCCGGCGCAATTCCCGGACTGTCTTGCCCAATATCCTTCCACCGCTGGGCAGTGCGTCACCTTTTGAAAGGCCCTCAGACGTGTTTCATAAGGGGGGGCCGGGTCCTTTCCGTCCGTAGCCGTCAGCTGAATGCTTGCAGCCCTCTCTCTGCTGCAGACTCTGGATGTTGGAAGTGCCGCTGCTCAGGAAATGGTCTGGGCGTGGGGAGAGAGTTGCGTGTTCCCGTTGTTTAGTGGCGGTGGGGCCGGGCGAAGCGGTAAAACACCGGCCGTGCCTCGCAGCAAGCCGCGGCCTGGGTTCGGTTCCCGATTTGATGAGCGAGCAGTCGGCAAGAATGGTGGAAACGCCGCCGTCAGTTTAACACATTTCGCTTTGATCCGATGCCCGCCGCCCCTCGTCCCGGGTTCGTTTGCCCTGATGGAATATTTGTTGTGGGGCATCAAAGAGCGGCGTGCACACACTGGCTCTGATAACGCTCTACCCGGAAAGGTCGCGACAGTTTGAACAATTTCTATTTCTGTTATATCTATGTGGTGGTGGTGGGGGGGGTGGGGGGGTCGCGTTACAAGACATCTGTGATTACACGGCAAAGTATTGCGAAAGTCAACGGTGGCATTATCTCTGTGTTGGTATGTTTGTGTACGTGTTTTGGTGTGCGTTTGGTGCGTGTGTGTGTCTCTCTCTATCTTGGGGGGGAGCGGCAGTGCGGTGGGTTGGCGCACATCGGCCTGAGTTTGATTCCCGCTGACGGACAACATCGGCGATGAATGTTTGAACCGGTCTTGGGCTTTCCCTAGCTCCACTCAGCCTTAAACGTGCACCTGGTGCAGTGTG